TTGGGCAAAATCTTTTATCAAGGAACTTATTGCAAGTTTAAATAATAGTGATCAGACGAATATCACCCCTTATTTGGACGTACAACTTTTATTGACAAAATATAAACAGGCTAAAAGTCGTTTATTATTATTCGATTATGATGTAGGGTGCTTCATCATTCATCTTTATGTATTTAATGTATTATTTGAATTTATAATTAATCGCGTTAATATTGAAGGGTACGCTTACACCGATTGTAAGAATGCCGAGTCAAGCTATACCTCCACCAGATATGCTCGAAGCTTTGCAAAAACTAGTGGATGATCCAAAAAATACTGTATGGATAATATCTGGACGCGGTCAAGATAAATTAGAGGAATGGCTTGGTGATATCAAGAAACTCGGTTTTAGGTGTGTACTATCATTCTATCGATAATTAATAAGTAATAACTCTAATTAATGATTTCTTTCTATGAATTTTATAGTGCTGAGCACGGTTGTTTCCTTAGGTATCCTGAACAAGACAAGTGGATCAATCTCACCGAAGATATTGACATGAGCTGGCAAAATGATGTTAAAGAGATTTTCACTTATTTCACTGAACGTACACAAGGTTCATCTATAGAATATAAACGATCTTCAATTACATGGCATTATCGTCAAGCAGATCCTGAATATGGGTAATTAATTATATCACTGATTGGTTTAAATTAAATTAATTTATTTGGTCTTAATTTATTTGGTCTTTAATTTATTTGGTCTTAATTTATTTGGTCTTTAATTTATTTGGTCTTAATTTAGTGCATTCCAAGCTAAAGAATGCCAAAATCATTTGGAAGGAGCAATTCTACCAAAATTACCTGTAGAAATCTTGTTAGGCAAGAAAAATCTTGAAGTTCGCCCAACCTTAATTAATAAGGTTAGTATAACATTACTTATTTTAATTATTAATTTTAAACATATATTAATAATACAATAATATTAATTTAGGGTGAAATTGTGAAACGCTTGTTGACAAACATGCAAAACGTAGATTTCGTGTTCTGTGCGGGTGATGACAAAACGGACGAAGATATGTTCCGAGTACTGAAAAGGGCACCTGACTTTAACGAGATAGATTATTTCACAACTACCATTGGAGCTCCAAATAAAAAGACATTAGCAAGTTGGCATGTTTCTTCACCTGAAGAATTAATTCAAACTATGAAAAAATTAGCAGATTCTAATTAATATTAGTAATAGATTTATGGACATCAAAAAAGTTATATAGAAACAAAATTATATA